TTTTTTTTTTTTTTTTTTTAATTATTATTATCTTGGGAATGTGGAGCTATTAAAACTAGAAATGCAAAAGTTGGTTCACTCCTCTGTGAGGGTCAATATCACCTCTGTGTGAGAGAATAGTCCTGGTGTGCAAATTTTAAGTAGGGAGAAGTTCAATATCACCTCTGTACCAATGCTATATGGGTTGTGTAGTTCATTTTCCATTGCTTTTTGTCAGCATTTCTCTGTCCCTTGTGAAAGTTGGCCTGGTTGCCCAATCAGCAGCTACACAGAAATGGCATTGAGGAAGTTTTATTTTCCTGACATTCACAATTTTTTTTTCCTTTCTTTCTGATTTTATTCAGCCACCTGACTGTTTTATTTACCATGGACACCCTAAGTAATTCCTTCTTTATTCAGTTTCCCTATTTAGCATATTTGTAGTCTGTCACATGCCCCATCAGCCATGGAAAAGTAGCTTCATACCTTCTCTGCCTCTTGCACTCATGCTTGAGAGCAGACAGATCTATAACTCAGACATTCAGCTCCATCTCTATGGCATAGTCAGTGAAAATCAGAGAAAATAAGCTTTTTGGGTGTAGGTTTGGTGCCTAAGTGGTTACTTGCAGAGTGGAGGGGTTAGCAGGCATCAGACTGTGAATCTCTGGTGATGTGTCCAAACATACTGTGCAAACAGCCCTGCATTCATCTGTCCAGCCTCTGAGCAAACCACAGCAGGGTTGTTCTGCTCTGGGAGACATTTAGCCACATTACTTTAGCTATATGCCAAGAAGAATACCTCTAATAGCAAAGCGCATCTGTATGAGGCTTGTGTAACTAACAGTCATCTAGAGTGGAGCTTGCATCTCCTTACATCCACCTGTGTAAATGTGTCTTCTTTCTGTATGTGTAGATGTTTCATAGTTAATCATTTACCATAGTTCATGATTTTAAGTGTCACATGTTGAGGAAAGCAGACATCTAGCAAGATGTGTAACACTTGCTGTTCATGTGTCCCTGATGTGCTGAGAGGCAACCTCAGAATATCCAGGTTAGAGTGAATGTCATGCTGGAAAAAGCAGGAGTTGTATCCATGTAGAGAGTGGTTGTTGTTCAGATAGTGCCTAAGCAGAGACAAGGAGTGCTCTATCTTGGCCAGTTACTCCAGAAAATTTACTATCATGGTACGACTGCAATAGAATGTGATAATGAGCAGTATGTGGTTGTTGGCTTTTGAAGTTATACTTTTTCTAGAAAGAAAGAAGCAGCAAAATAAAACATTTTTAACTTTGTGACTAGGTTCATGGGGAGCAGAAGCTAAGTGAAATGCAGTTCTCACTGGAGTCAGTGGATCTTTTCTTGCTACCTGTTCTTGGGCTATTTGTGCGTTATTCGCCCCTTGGATTTTTTCCAACCAGCCACACGATGTCGCTTGTGCCTGTGGTTGCGGCTTTGTCCTGGCAGCCTGGAGGCAGCTCCTCCACTGCTACCTGCTACAGTGAATTGTGCTTGTTTTCAAACTGTGGTCTTTACCTTAATGCCTTTAGTGCCTTAATGCCTTTACCTTTCCCTTGGTAACTGGGTAATACTGTTTGGCAATAGAACAAAACCATCCCACCCATCTTCTCTGTAGCCAAGAGGCCATGAAATTGAACTCTGCACTGATGTTCAACACCAGCATCTTTTTCCAGGCAAGACCAGAGGTGATAATTCTGTTGCAGATCCATTCGCTCAGTCTCAAAGGTGCTATATACTTTTTGCCATTTGGTGTCATTGCTATTCAGGTAATGAGCAATGATAAGTTTCCAGTTCCTAAACTGGAATACCTAAGTAATCTGTCTGATTCAGTATTCATCACTACATCCCTGTATCAGACGTGGAAACTCCCTGCAGGGCCAACAACAGAAATTCTGCGCATAGTTTATACTCCTCAGATAGTGGTTGATTATGTTTCTAAAACATCTCTTACTTTTATAGATCATCTTCATCTTGTTAGCTTAAATAAGTCAAGCTTATCAAGTCTTCTTTCCTGTGATGAGCTTTTATTGCCCCAGTTATCCAATAGGCCAGTGGTTTGGTGGAGTTAATTTAACCCACTTGAATAGTGATGAACAAGAACAGCACAAAGGATTCCTCCAAGATCTCTTGTCATGGCCCAAAAATACTACAATTATTTCCATATCCTATATGTGTCAAGCCAGATGTTTCCAACTTTTGCCTTTTTTAATCTTATATTAGTAATTCAAGGTCATCTTGTGATTGAGCTGTTTATCTAAGCCTGTTGTCTTCCCTGTCATTTAAAAATGATGAGCTCTCAGATTAAATAGTAGAAGTGTGAGGTATTTCTTAGTCTCCCAGTGCATGACTTTTCCCTTGAATTACTAAATTTTATCCTGTTTCTATTACTCTGGTGTTCAAGATAACTTTGTTTCAACTGCAAAGTTTATTCCATTACTATTTTTGGTGTTCAGATGCTTAGTGAAAACATGCCTGAAAACAGTCCATGTTGATACTTTTCTCTGTCAGCACTGTTCAGTTCTCACTACCCATTTCTTACATTTGGTCATTTACTTGCTGACCCTATAATTCCTCTGATAAACTCCATCTTCTCCAGATTTGCATTTAATTCCATGTGTGGCAACATACCAGACGCTTTAATGATACCACATTAGATGAGATCAAATAAAATTTATGTTATGCAGAAGTCATTTTTCTTTAACAAATAAAGCTACGAAGCAAATCTGGCACTGTCTTTAACTTATGTCAAACCAATTAAAATCTATGTGACTATAATTTATTTTCTGTTTACTGCAATGTCTTTGTTCAGTTTTTCCTTAAGCTTTCTGCTGGAAGCAATCTGGTAGCTCCTCATTATCTCTTTTCCCTCTTAAATGTAAAAACTGTAGTTTATGTTCTCCAATGGTAAAAGGTATTGGACTTGCAATTCGATGCAAGCTTATCGCTCCCTGTTTAAGTACATGAAGTGCTTTGAATTACGTTTCCATCATGAATGTGATTCATTGGCGTACCCTTATTCCGTTAGCTTTCCCACCATGCTCAGTACTCTACCTTTTGTTCCTAAAAGCAGAGGTGGAACACTCCTTCCATATTGGAGCCCTACCTAGGTTACCTTTCACCTCTGCTGTGCACTGACATAGCGTAACTCCCAGTGAACCCGTTTCTTCTTTGCTTGTTCTCTTTTTATTTGGATAGCTGGAGAACCTTTTGCTATTTGTTTTAATATCATTTTCAGTGTTTAACTCAGCTTGACTTCTGGCAGTTCTCACTTTATCTCAGCACATCGTGAGCTCTTTGCTGATCCATCTTTTGTTTTTTCTTTCTGTATGCTTATTCCTAATAATCTCCTTAGGGTATTTATTAATCCAGTGGGGTCTGAATTCCCTTCCTGCATTCTCCTTTGGACACAGATTGCTAACATTTTTGACAGAAAGAAGCATTGTACATTCAGTTCTTTGAGCTAGCTGACTTCTCTAACTCTTTGCATCAATTTATCAAAGTTTCCTGTACTGGAATCAAGAATGTTTATTACAGACATGTTTGTTCATCTTCTGTTTAATTTAAACTAATTCAGCTTGTCACTTATCTACGGCATTATTTTATTAACCAAAACCTAATATGAAACTCTTTTTGTCCCTTCACTGACAAAATGAACTTCCAAACTTTCTTATTAGACTCTCAGTATTAAAGTAAGTATCTACAATTGGTTCATACTGACAGCCCACAGTTTCATCACGATATTGCATCCAGTTGGTTCATGGTAACACCACTTTGCCAATTTTGTCTATCTGAAAACTTTCTTTCTGTCGAGTGTTTATACTCTCACTGATTATACTTTACCTATTGCCATTATCTTCATTTATGCTTTTTTTCCACTTAAAGCAGTAGAAGTTTTAAAGAAAGCTAAATCTTTTTTGGTAGGGTTTTTTTTTTTTTTTTAAGTTGTACAATACTAGCCCTCCTTTTTTAAGAAACAAAATCAAAACCAGATCACATATATCATGATCAAAAGTAATGTAACTCTAAAATGATGGTGCCTTTAATCCCATTTTCAAGTCATGGTTTAACACCAAGTTGGAGGGCAGAGATTTCACAAGCTCTCAAATTTGCTTTGCATCATGTAGCTGCATAAGACTTCCGTAATGTGAGTCCCACAACTCTCATCATGTCATGCCTGGTAAGGTGAGTGCATCCTGGCGTGCTGTTATTTATAGACATTGTTACACATGTTCATGTATGTTAAATATAGAGAAAAGATGAGCATTACTCAGTTATATTTCATCCCATTAACAGAATTTATATATTGGTCTTGTAATTACTTTTTCTGGTTGTTGTCTTTAATTCTGGATTTTAGTAGGCTGTAAAGGATTTCTTAAAAAATAGAGCTATATGTTATATCTTTTACAGGATTTCCATATTCTAAATCTGCTTCTCTACCTGGCTATGGAAAGAATGGCTTACATCAGGTAGGTATACATTTAAATGCATTCTCTAGGCAATAGTGTATCATAAATAGGCAGCTTAGTATGTAGTTGAAAATCTACACAGTAATAACACTTCAAAGGTGTTTTGGCTGCCAGCCCTGTCTGACAGATTCATACCCCATGTGGGTTAGTTTGTCTGTCTTCAAGAAAAGACAAACAGAGGCTTCTCCTTTTGCTTGTGTGTGTCATGAGTGTTAGGAGTCTTGATTCCCCTCCCAAAACAAATGAAGGTCCAAAATGTATGAGCTGCACATACTAAGATCACAGTATAGCTTGAATTAATGATAGAGATGGTTAGGCCTATAATTAGGAAAGTAATGATCTTAAGAGCAAAGGTGGAGCAGCCCACATCCATTGCATTTCTTAAACCATCTGTTCTGTTTTTTTCCAGTATGGTTTTTTCCAGTTGTCATACTTTTAAGGTGGGGAGGGAGCAATACAGAGAGAATGGAAGGCAGCAATCTAGAAAGCAGAATGCATAACAAAATTATGACCAGATCAGACTAGGCATTCTTTTTCTAATACTTTTTTATATATTTTTTTTAAGTCTTTAGGAAAAAGGCATCTTTGACACTGTAGTCTCTCTTTCTTTCTGGCATCTAGCATTATGGGTTCTCAATTCATGTCTTATACTTTTAGTTAAAAAACTATAATGGTTAATAGTGGTAAGCTGGCAATACATAGATACACATGCACTTAGATTTTGAAGATTGATTTGTGTCTAAAATACATGGACAGGGCATCATTCAAATTCCTTCTTTTTTCCAAGGGAAGATGTGAAAGCTGCAAAAGTACATGAGCAGGGTTAAACTTCCCCAATGATAAGAGTCAAACTGCAGGTCACTGGAGGACCTACAAGAAAACAACTGTCAGAGAGTAGCTAAACTAATTTTTCAGTAGCTACTGAAATGTCCATCCCTTTGAGTTAATATTACAAGACTAATTGTGCTTGTCTTACTCCAATACCTGACTGCTTGAATTCCTCTCTGAAGGAACCAGTGGCACAGCAACTTGATCAAATGAGATTTAGGAATTTGAAAGCATCTAGATAAACCTGTCCCCACTTAGGTGTCAACAGGTTTTTTTCTGACTTTTCAGAATAGCTGTTACCTGTAACATGAAGTGAGCAAGGGACCGACTTGCACCCAGCCACTGCACTGTTGAGGGACCAAAGCCATCAGAAGGCTCCACACAGATGAGGCTAAAGCAAACCCCCATCAGCAGTGGAGCTGGCTGCACCTGTAGGCAGAAGCCATGCAATGTAATATGAAAGCAGAAGATGGCAGCATTTGTCCTGCCTAAAGGGTCCAACCTCACAGCTGAAAACTAGGAAAGTTGAAAAGGTTGCTCATGGTCACATCCTTGAGGCCAAAATTCTTCTCAGAATGAATATCCTCTGTTTGATAGCAGGTTCATACCAGCTTCTGTGGTTTGTTATTTTTAATCAGCCATTCCAGTGCTGCATAACAAAATAAACCAAAAACAAACAATAAGGAGCCTTGAAGGTTATTGTGAGTGTAGCTGTCCACACCATTCATACCCTAACAGGCAAAAATGAGACTTAGGAAAAAAAAATATAATAGTGCTTTTCTCATCTCCTGTAATGTTCATTATCATAACATTTGCCAGCAAAGAGAAAAGACAGTGAGTCAAACAAAGCTATAGCAAATACACAGTTCTCCCTGGTCTCAGTGGCATCAGCAGTGTGAAGCAGAAAGCAGAATTAGACAGGTTGCAATGAGCATATCTGGCCTGCTATGACAACTGCAGTAAGACATCTGCATCGCAGGGAAAGACAATTTCAGTCCAATCTTAGTGCCCAGTCTTCAAATGGGGGTGGCTGCTGGCTTTCTGACACCTACCTCATGGAAAGCTGCAAGGAATCAGAGCTCAAAAAGTCCCAAGAGCTTAGGGGTGAAGTGGGTTGATACAATACTGCAGTTGCCTCTCTGAGTGACATCCAAGCTCCAGCTTTCACTGGTATGTGGGAGTTCACAGCATAGACAGCAAACTGCACCTGCAGTGCCTCCAAGGACCCAGGCACTCACTTGACACTCCATCCTCTTCTACAGGCAGAGCTCCATCTCTGCAGTCGCAGATTGATGGGTGATGTGGGCGCTTGGGATGCCTGCTTTGAGCATTTAGGTTAAGTTCAAATGAGACTTTACTCTCTTTCCTTGTCACAAGGATCTATATTTTGATTGTGTGGTACCAGCTGGTTTTCTTTTTTCTCTTGACAATGTGCAGAATGATTTTGTGGTGTATTTTGCTCCTACATTGCTTCTTTCTTTCTCTTTCAGCCTGAAAATATGGGCCAATATGAAACGGACCAGGAGGCGAGCTGGGGGATGAAAGGTACATTGCAATATCATTTCCATCCATGTTTTCTTCCTTTGAGGATGCTTGTTAGTGTATTGCCATAAGGGTTCCTATTCCGAGATGTTCCCATAGTTCACATAACAGTGACTAGACAGCGACTGAGCTCAGTATCATGTTTAACACAGAGAATCTTCTTTTTATATAACCAAACTTAAAGGCCTACATGGAGTCTGGTATCATAAACTGGTGCTGAGTCAGTCCTGGTATCCTCAGTATATGGGAACGTCCTCTGTGGTGGTGGTCTCATATCAGAGAGAGGAAGAAATTTAAGATACTTACTCCTTCAAGACATACCTAATTGAAAAAAAAAAAAAAAGTCCATTGTGCCTCTTGTTTGTGCGACAGTGTAGTTAAAATGTACAGAATTCAAAAAGCAGAATTTATTTGCATTCTTTTTTTTTTTTTTAATTACAGTATAAGTGGACTGTTAACTTAATATGGAACTTGGGTTGGAATTTTCAAAAGAGCTGAACAATTTAGGAACATGCATCTACTCATGAGGAAGAGTAGGATTTTGTTTCCAAGACACTTAATCTTGTTTTAAAAATCTTAACTCTAATGTTCTACTTCATGGCTCTGTGTTGATACAAATCTTGGACTCTGTGTTTGAATAGTTTAAAGTACAGATTTTGAAGAGTAAACTTACCTCTGATTTCATTTCAGACCATGAAAAGGTCTATGAAAACATAACGGCTATCCTGGTTCTGTTTAATCATCAATGTGAATAGATGACCTTGTGGTAGTCATATCATATGTAGTCATATACTGACCTAACTGAAATACTCTTGTGCTAGTTTAGATACAGGAATCATTGTCCCCACACCCCCAAACCATCTTTTCTTTGCTATTGTTATTCCCACTGCAGTCAGCCCAAGTGCAGGATGTTAGCATCTTGGAATATTGTATTAACTCAATGGTTTTCATATATGTTCCCAAACTGACATGCCTGTAATAATCCATATATTTTAACTATTTTCAGTAAAGAACAATAAGGGCAGGACTTTTGGATGACAGACTGACTTAACTCTGCACAAAAGCCTCCTACTGTAAAAGGAAATTACCAATTTTTCCAGACATACTCACTGTGTAACCCAATGGCATCAGGAGATGGATTTTCTGTCATAAGCCTCTGATTTTGAGGACTATTGCTTCGGTAATAGAGAGTGTTATAGGCATTCAGAGCATGGGGGTCAAATGCTTACTATGTGTGCAGTTATCCAACACATATTAAGAGAGAAATGTAGTAGCATAACAAATTGCTGATGTACCTAAAAGTTCATTGTAGTGACTCCAAAAGAAGCTATAAATTCTAAACTGTGAACTTGTTCTCATTCTCTTGCAGAATACAAGGTAAGAAGGGCTTTTCCAACACTGGAAGAACAATCAGATTCAGCACTTCCTAGCAAGGTTACATGTGTTCCTTTTTTATTATTATTATTTTGTTAATTTTTTGTCCCAGTGAAATATTTGTCAAATCAGGATGCAAGTATGTACCGTATAAATTAGTAAGTTCCCCACACTGTCATTTCCACACATCAGAATCGGATTTGGCTGGAGTTCATATGCTCTTGTCTTTTTAACAGATTTATCCTTATGAAACTCTTATTGTAACAAACCGAGTTCGTGTGAAATTGCCTAAGGATGTGGACAGGACCAGGCTGGAGGTAGGAATGATATTTGCTTTAAGACTTTTCAAGTCTTTGTCCTGTTTGTTTACCATCATAGCTATTCCTGTGCCCAAGTAATAGCAATGAAAGAAGAGAGAAGAGAGGAGTAACATTATATATTATATTTTATTTCAAAACACTAGTATGTAGGCAATTTAACTAACAAAGAATAGACAAAACCTGCCAAATGTCTGACCAAATGGTGTTTTACAAAGATACTGATGAATCCCATTAGTTTTGGATGATTATACAGAATATTGAAATTTGGAATAGGGTGGGTGGAAACTTGGGGTTTTTTTTAAATTCCTATAAAAAATACCCTCCTAGAATAACCTGAGTATTATAAAAAAGCTCCGTTTATCCTGCAAATATATGGACCTATGTTTCTGGTCCATCATCTTATTCAGCATCCCATTTGACTGTGTGATCCATGATCACTGTCCTATAGATTTGCTGTAGCATCATCTCTATCAAAGAGTAGTAGTATAAGCTGGAGAAATGCAGAGATTTATCGTAACAGAAGGCGTAGTTTCTAAAGGCCAAATCCTGAAGTTGATGTTCAGGCAAAATTCATGAGGTTGATTTTTTTGACTGAGTAATGACAGAACTGAATAAAGACTCACCTAAATTATTAAACTAACATATCTTTGTGTGAATTACTGTTAAGAAGAAGAGATAGTTCAATAAAAATTATGTTATTAACAATATTGGACCTTTGGGAAGATTTATATTTAAATAAATTTATTGTGTTTTTAACTTGATAATGTAACAAGAAAAGAGAGAAACTTTAATCTTAAAGAAAAAAAAAGAAGAGGAACTATGAAGTAGCAGAAAAGTTCTTCATTAAAGATCAAAGTTTTTAAAAAAAAATAATTTTACAGATTTTTTATACATGTAGTATATTTTGGAATTGGTGTATGTTCTTAAATACTTCAATGTTCTTTTTGCTTGATTACCCATCAAGTAGTATTGATTTCATTGTAAGGAAAAAAGAGCTTTTAATGTGTGCTGTTTTAAGCCTGGGGTATAGCAAGGCATGAGATCAATAATAAAAAGCATAATGAGTCCAGAAAAAGGAGCAGGAGGTTGGAGGGATACTCATCTGGACACATCCTATAAAGAATTCTTCTATATATATACACATATATGTGTATGTGTGTGCGTGCATATTTAAGAATAGAGTCTTTGTTTAAACACATCAGGCAGATTTGAATAGCAAATGCAGCTCCAGATTGCTTTTTTAAGACAACATATAGTTTGCTTTGGATGGATCATGCCTGTCCTGGCTGCCATTGTCTATAACTCATACACTGTCCTCAGCTGGGATCGCTGTTTGTTTAATATCCAAGTTGCTCTGTCTGCCTCGCACCAGGTGCAGCCCAGTGCCTGGTGGCTCAAGGAGCCCAACCACTTCAAAGGTCTCACAGAGGTTTGCAAAAAGAACAATAAACAAGATCTGCTTCAAACCTGCACCAGGAAAGCGATAAGGGCACCAGGCTGATCCTGCTGATTGCTGCACTATGTTAAACATGTTCGTCTGCAGGAAGGATTCCTTTGGAGACCATCTTATAGTCATTAGGGATTGGTAGTTTTTTAAACAATTAAATTAGCAGTGTTTTAATAGGATTATAACTACTGGAAAAACACAGGCAGCAGCTCATCTACACATTCAAACCATATGCAGAGTTGAGTGACAGACACAAACTGCTGCCTTCCCTGCCAGCCTCTTCCACTCCTTTCCATCCCTTCCTTCTGCATTGCAGACTTGCTGGAAATAAGTAGCTTTGCATAGAAAATAAGTTTATCATTATTTCCTCTTGTTGCAGAAGAAGAAGAAGATTTAGTTGCTTACTTGTGCATTCATCAGATTTCAGGCTTGGGTGAGACTGAGGGAGCCCAAGACTACATGGGTTTATAGGTTTGCGCAGGAACAAACCCACATTAGACACACACACACCCCTCCCTGTCTCTTAGTAGAGGACCCACTTAAGACATCCTCCTATCTTCAAACTTTTGGGGACAACACTTGGAATACTGGAAGCAGGTATTAAGGTTAGATTTCACCTTTTCTTGAGCTCCGTTTCACATTTGCTAGAGGGTATGATTTGATGCTCACAGATCTCTAGGAGGCAAGTTCTCTCTCCGAGCAGAATGGGTTACTGTCTGATCTTCTGTTTTCATCCTGCACAGCCAATGTCACTTTTGAAAGGGCTGGATTGTTCTTTCAGAAATGGTGAAGGTGATAGCACTGCTAAACCCATACATTATCTTGGAAAATATTTTTAGAAAAAAATCCATATTCTAATATTCCAATTTTGTTACAATTAGTTTTATGGGCTGAAGTCTCACCTTGCTCTCACTGCTACAATTGGAACTAGATGATCTTTAAGGTCGCTTCCAACCTTAAACCATTCTATGATTCTATAAATCAGAACAAGCTTCTGGGTGTGATAGCTGTGGACAGGGTACCTAAGTACAGCGGAAGGAGACCTAGAACCTTTGTGTTTTACACCATCAAACCTGAAAGCGGTCTTACCGTGTCCAGTATGATTAGAATATCTCACATATGATGTTTCTGATTTCCTGGTCTACTTAGGAGCAATAAGGTGACTAAATCTGAATGATCTAGATTTATTTAACAGCCCTTTTGCAAGCTGACTTGAAGTAAGCTCCTGTTTGTGAAACAGAGTTTGTTGTGAGCTCTGAGTGATACAGCATAGATGTCATGAAAAAGGTGCTGTTGTTTATATCTGATTCTCTTCCAGGGGAAGTCTCCTATATTGAGTGTCATGAAAAATGAACTCAAGTAAATGGTATTAGCTCCTTGGGTCGCATTAAGGGAGGTGGTAATGAAGGCCTTGGCTAATAGTCGAGGACCACAGATGGGTGGGGTATTAATGGGTGGTAGTGTTTTCCTAACTTTGTTCCCATTGTGAGTATTTTTTAGATTACACCATTGTGTAAGAAATTTATTTTAAGGATTATAAAAAATACCTTCTTATAAAAATGCATATTTTTCTAAGCCAAAGAGGTATCTAGAGATTAGGAAGGCTCAACTGGTGATAAATGCATTCAAATAATAGGAATTCTTTCTTCAAAAGCACATATATCTAAGTGTAAAAACACTCGTCATGTTTTTATTTGCTTGTTCTAACTCAGCAGTGAGGCAGAAGTAGCCCAGTTCTTTGTGCTTCTCCAGGAGATGTTTATGCCAACAGTGAACTAATACATGCAACATTGAGAACTAGTTATAACAAACGACCTGCTGATTTTTAAATACATTACTGGCACTCTGACTTTTGAATGAATAGCCTGGATCTTTGTGTATTATAAGCTGATTAGAAATGCGAGGAGTTTACACAAGATAAGGATTTGGCCCAGGAACTTTTTTTAAAGTTTCTCTCTACCACAGTGCTGTTTATTCTAATGTCAGATGAACGGAGCAGCATTCTTATGAGCTATTATAATGGGAAATGGTGAAGAGCAATTTAATTCAGATAATGTTGCAAAACAACAAAGCAGGAGGATAGGAGGGGATTATACATTCTGGGTGACGAAGAGGAATTGCACCCTCACCACATCCATAGATGACACAAAGTGGGGAGGACAGCAGTTGATGCTTTGGTGAGCAGAGCCTCTGTTCAGAGGGACCTGGCCAGGCTAGAGGAATGGGTCCACAGGGACTTTGAGAAGTTGAACAAAGGTAAATCCAGATTCCTACACTTATGATAGAATAACGCCATTCATCAGGACAAGACTGGGGGAACAGCTCTGCAGAAAAGTACCTGATGGTCCCAATGGAAAACAAGCCGAACACAAGTCAGCAGCTCACCTTTGCAGTAAAGAAGTTATAGAGGAAAATGTACCCTTCTCAGAAGTAGGCACTGGAAGGCCAAGAGACAACAAGTTGCAGGAGGGGAAATTACAATTAGATGTCAGGGAAAAGTTCCTCACTGGGAGAGTGGTGCACTGAAACAGGTTGCCCAAGAGGCTGTGGATTCTCTGTCTCTAGAGGCATGGAAAACTCAGTTGGGCAAGGCCTTAAGGGACGTGGTCTAATTTTAAAGTTGGCCGCATTTTGAAGACCTCCACAAGACCTTAATTTGCTTGCTTAGGTTGGTATATTCTGTGAAGACAAAGCCTTAATATAATATAATTACAAGACAGGATTATTTGGTGCTCTTGCTGCAATAGTATTTGAAAAAATACATAATTTGGTTTATCTTGGAACATTTTATCAAAAGGATGATTTTGTTATGCAAGGGCTTAAATATAAGTGACCTGGAGCAAACTTTCCTATTTTGGACAACTTGAGTCATGAGTTTCCAGGGACTAAGACATCACCTTTGAATGGTATGCATTAGCACATGCCTTACTGGTTTCCCGTGGTAATCCACATGGTCTGGTTTTTGGGGGATTTGGGGGGGGCGGTTGTTTTTTCTTTTGGTTTGGTTTGGTTTGGTTTTTTTCCAAAGGAAATTTGGCTTATGGACACTTTTGTAAATCTTGATACCTCTTTTAAGTACATGAATACCTTTTATGATTTAGGCCTTGGGCTCCTAAAAGCATGTGCTTGATACTTTTATCTTAGATTGGATATTGTTTGCCTGTTGTTCAGTCACAGCAATGTGTTTTGGTGCTTGCACATCCAAATTGATGGTTCATACCCAGCTGCATGGACTTATATATATATTTTTTTTTTTTTCCTCCTGAAGTTGCTTTTATCACAGAGTATAAGATTTCTTTTCTCGTCACAGGCTGGTAGCTTTGAAAGCCAACATAGTCAGAGTCGTCCATTTGGAAACCATCTTTTAGTGTTTTCATTTGATTTTCTTATCTTAATGTATCTTAGTTTCTTTATCCTTTTCCTTTTAATGCCAGAGAGCTAAAAGCATTATTCATTCATGCCTATCAAATACAGCAGAAAGTAAATTATTCCACTTCTGTTTAAACCTGTTCATTCTTTGTTTAACAAGGATACACTGAAACAATTGCTA